CGACTGCGGGGTGGGAGAGGACGAGGCGGCGGCGATGCCGCGGCTTCCGTAAGGAGCGCCGAGGAGGTCGAGGGCCCAGAAGGCTCCGAGGCGCTGCGGTCTGGGGTGGGTGGCTTCGGGCGCCAGCCCGGCCATGGTGGCCGCGGGCGGTGGTTGGCGCGGTAGCACTGCGGCCCGGGGCAGTGCGGGGCCGGGACAGTCGCGGCGTTGACGCCTGCGGGGCCCAGCCGCAGATATGAAGCGGAACCGCTGCCGCGACCGACCGCAGCCTCCGCCGCCAGCCCGCCGGGAGGATGGCGCTCAGCGGGCGACGGAGCTGCCCCAGCCCCAGTCCCAGCCCTTACCCCCTCGCCGGCGAGCGCCGCCCGGGAGGCAGCGACTGGAGGAGCGGACCGGGCCCCCGGGGCCGGAGGGCAAGGAGCAGGTAGGGCGGGTTGGGGTCCGGTCGGGGGAGCCTGAATGGAAGCTGTGGGGGAGGGGATCGCGGCGGGAGGACGCGGGCTGGAGCGATTGAGGGGTGGGGACTGAGTTGTTCGGGAGGAGGAGTGGGAGGTCTAGAGGGACAGAAAAATGGGGAGTGAAGAAATGGAAGTGTTGGTCTGGGGTTGAATTGGAAACGGGGGAGAAGGGGAATGGAAAAAAATGGTCCTGGGGCTTTCGTAGTCAGAAGTTGTGGATGGGGAGAAGGGAGAAGGGACGCTGGAATGTGGGGCTGGATGAATGAGCTGTGAAGAGTTAGACTTACTGACGGGGTATTGAGGAGTTACCCAGAGGCATAGTGTTAGATGGGGAAAGTCAATTTTACATAGTAAATGTAAAAACAGCATAAAAGTATTTGTGGGGCTTCTGAATGGACAGGATGTGTTTATATAATTTATTAGTCAAGAGTAGGTGTATTTATGAGTAGGGGATAAAGGTCAGTTTTATCAGGAAGGAGAAGTTGTCCCTAGCAGTTATAGGAAGTTCAATGAAAGGAGTATAAGTGATCCTTGGTCTTGTTGGATTTACAGAAAATGTTTGCTAGTAATGAAATATAGTGACGGCTCTCCTTTTGCACAGCTCTACTCAGGATCCTAGTGACTGCAATCTTGAATTTTTTTTTGTTTTTTGAGTCGGAGTGCTCTGTTACCCAGGCTGGAGTGAGTGGCACGCTCACGGCCACCGCATCCTCGACCTGCTGGGTTCAGGTGATCCTTCTGCTTCAGCCTTCCAAGGAGCTGGAACTACAGGCGCGTGCCAGCGCGCCCAGCTAATTTTTTGATTTATTATAGAGACGAGGTCTTGCCATGTTGCCCAGGCTGGTCACATTGAGTGTTTTAAGCTTATTGTAAGTCTCCTACCTCTTTCCCCTCAGATCAATAAGTATCTTCCTTAGACATCATTCTTTATTATGTAGTTCAGTGATGCACATGCTAGCCCTTGATTTTTTTTCCCCTTTTGTTCTACCTTTTATTCTCCACTGAGCCCTGAGAAGACTGCACCATTGGCCATCTTTGCTCTTGCTTCCAGGCTGAGCATTATCCTCATGCTGTAATTTACCCCTCCCTACCATTCCTTGTCTTTTAAGTTCTCTACTCAGAACTTGTAAAATATACTTCAAGTCTGGATTCTTTCCCGGCTCAATTTACCGGGTCCAGTTGACGTTGTTGCTGCATACTTCATTGAAGAGTTCAAGGTAACTTGATTTCCCCCTCTTCTCTGTCTCATTTCTGGGGTCACTCATCCTTAGCTTCAGTCTCAGAAAGAGGTATTTGTCCTCCTTTACAAGACTAATTCCACTACTTATACCCTTGATTTCATCCTCTTTCGTCTGCTTTAGACCCTGGTTATTCTGTCTTTGTTTTATATTGCAAATAAAGACAAAACAAAACAACATAATTTCCCTGAATTGTATAACCCACCCAAACTTCTTTGTTAGCTCTTCTTTGCTTCCCTGGCAACCTGCTTGAAAAATGAATTTGTATTCACTGTCTTAGCACCCTCACCCTGTATACACTCCTAATATTATGTTTGGCTTCTTCACTTATACTTTTCCAAAAACTGTTGTTTTCAAGGTCACTGGTGATGGTTTTTTGTTGTTGTTGTTTATTTTATTGAGGTGTGACTTATATATAGTGTACAAATCAAAGATTCATTCAGCCTGTGAATTTTTACAGATGAATACCCCTATGTGACCACTACTCAGATCAAGGTGGAGAACATTTCTAATACCCTAGAATGCTCCCTTGTGTTTTCTCCCAGTTACTACCCTACTACAAAGGTAATCACTCTCATGACCTATATCACAACAGATTAGTTTTGAACTAATATTTCATATAAATGGAATCATAGAGTTTGCACTCTTTTGTGACCAAATTCTTTCATTCAGATCATGTCTGTAAGAGACATCCATGCTGCTGCTTGTAGAAATAGTTTGTTCTTTTTCATTGCTGTGTAATTTTCCACTGTGTGAATGTATTTTGATGATTATTAAAATTTGATTTTGAAATTAAAATAAGGCCAGGTGCAGTGGCTCATGCCTGTAATCCCAGCACTTTGAGAGGCCAAGGCAGAAGAATTGCTTGAGTCAGGTGTTCAAGACCAGCCTGGGCAACATAGTGAGACCTCGTCTCTACAAAAAATACAAAATTAGGCCAAGTGCTGTGGCTCACGGCTATAATCTCTGCACTTTGGAAGGTGGGGATGAGAGGATTGCCTGAACCCAAGGGTTCCAGACCAGCCTGGGCAACTTGACAAGACCTTATATCTAAAATAAATAAATAAATAGATAAGCAAACAAACAAACAGGTTATAGTGGTACTCATGTGTAGTTCTAGCTACTTGGAAGGCTATGGTGGAAGGATTGCCTGAACCTAGAAGGTCGAGACTGCGGTAGCTGGACTGAACTCCAGCCTGGGCAACACAGTGAGACTCAAAAAAAAAAAAAATTTGCCGGGTGTGGTGGTGCATGCCTGTGGTTCCAGCTACTGGGGAGGCTGAGGTGGAAGGATCACCTGAGTCCAGGAGGTTGAGTCTGTGATTGTGCCACTGCGCTCTAGCCTGGACCACAGAGTGAAACCCTGTCTCCAAAAAAAAAAAAAAGGAAAGAAATTCAAATATAATGCATGGCTACTTGTGAAAAGTTTCATTGTAAAAGAGCTACACAGAAAAATATGTAGAAGTCTCGAGGACCATTAAATCTGATAGTCTTTTCCCTAGTTTTCATCCTCTCCTAACTCTGTGAACGGTGTGTTCCTTCTTGACGTTTTCTTCTCTCTTGTCATAATTAATCCATTCTGTTACTGCTTCTCTGACTGCTCCCTTGTGTGTCTTTTCTGTTTTCTCTTCCTGTTCCCTAAATGTTTCTTGAGGTTATGTCCTCTGCCCTTAGCTTGATCCTTTATTGTACTCTGTTCTTTTAGCAGGCTCAGTCTATTTGTAGCAAGTGTCGAGGAGGTAGAACAAGGGTCTGCAGTCCTCTTTACTATGGCATTGTGTCACAGAACCTTCTTGTAGAGTAATCTGGGTCTCTTTAGGTCTGACCTCTTTCCTTAGCTCTACATTTCCATTTCTGTGCTTAATATTTCCTCCATGGACTCTCATTGTTTATGTTCTTAACATTTGTGATTTTTGTAATTTGATAATAACCTTGAAGGTTTGTGACTTGTAATAATTTATAATTTTAAAAAGACAGGAATTTCAGTTGTGTGTGTTAATAAGCCTGGTTGAATTCCGTCCGTTTAGGTAGTAAGAACCTAGGTGACCAACAAGCGCTCACATTTCACAAATGATTTTGTTCTACCTTTCTCATGACATGGGATAGTGCTTGTCATGCTGGTATTTAGGAATAAGTTCTTTTTTTTTTTAGATTATAAAATACAATTCATTTAGAAAGTAAATTAGAGAGAGAGAGAGAAAGAGGAGATTCACCTCCCCAAAGTAGGGAAGGGGCCAAAGCCAAGAAACATGGCAGTGGCCATAACTCAAAGAGTACATGGCCACACCAGAGTCTAGTAAGGCAATGACCAGGAATAAGTTCTGACCAGGATGCAGGACTTGGTTTTCCAGGTCAATGGCTTACTGTATCATTAAAATATAATCCATTATTTCTCTGTAGAAATGTACTTCTCCCTGTATTTTTCTTTTGTGTTGTCATACATGAAATTACATCTGTGGTCTTTGATTTCTCTTTTTCCCTTGACACCCTCAGCCAGTCAGGTGTTAGTTTTGCTGATTCTATCTTCGTGACATCTTTCAAACCTTTATTCTCACTGTCACTACCTTAATTCAGTAGATGAAACTCATTGATTACCTGGCTAATGGTAAGTAATGGATAAATCTTTGTTAAATTATCATTTCAACTTTCTCTACAGGTGCCTTCATTAGCTTCTTAATTACCCATAGAATGAAGCTTAAAGATTGGCATTCAGGGTCTACTTGATGCTGTCACTTTTACTGGAAGAATCATCATTGGATGCTTCTTCTCTTCGTTCCCTGAGACCCTCTGCTTTTCTTCATTATAGTATACATTACTGAAATTGTCTTGACTCTCTCCTTAGTTCTTTGAGGCTCAAACTGTTTCATTTACTGCTATGTACCTGTGGCTTAGTATAATACTTGAAACATTGTTATTTGTCTGAATATTTGTTAAAAACATAGATATTTGCTCAATAAATATCCTAATTGATTGTTAGTCTGTTATCTGAGAATGAACTCCTCAGAGTTTGTCATGTTCATCATTGTATCTCCAGCCTCTAGTGGTTTAACTGGTACGGAATGGACAGTTAGTAAATATTTGTTTATTGTTAGACACCTTCATATACTTATTTGAATTAGTTATCAGCCTGAAAAGCTCTTTTTTTCTCTGCCTTTGCCTATTAAAATTCTATTCAAGCTTCCAGGCCTAACTCAAACGCCACAGAAACTCTTTTGTGAAGTTGTTTTCTATATGGAATCCTTTTTTGGCTTCGGGAAATCTATGACTGTTCTGAAAATCCAGTTCTCAAAATTCTGTGATCCAAAAGTGAAAGCTTATGTTCCAAGATATTAAATAAAATAATGATTGGGAAGTACACGGTGTTTAATAAATATTGGTTCTTATCTTACTTTGTTTCTGTAACACATTGTTTGATCCATTTCTAGATGTAAAGTAGGTGCTGAATAATTATTTGCTGAATGAAAGGGTGAATCAGTGTTTTAGCACTTCTTTTTTTTTTTTTGTGTTAGAGTCTCACTCTGTCGCCCAGACTGGAGTGCAGTGGCCACTCCCGGCCACCGCAGCCTCGACTGCTGGGCTCTGGCGATTCTTTCGCCTCAGCCTTCCAAGTAGCTGGAACTACAGGCACGCACTACCACACCCGGCTGATTTTTTGATTTATTGTAGAGATGAGGTCTCGCTGCCCAGGCGGGTCTTGAACACGCAGGCTCAGGCAATCCACTCACCTC